AGCATGGCCATGCTCCGCTCAGCAGCCCGCTTTAAGCATCTTTGGGCCGCCGGCGACAAGCAGTACGTGGGCTGCTGGGAGTCCGTTCCCCGTCGCTACGGCAATGCTCTGGGCCCCGTGTCCTACGCCAACCGCACTCCAGTGCCCAAGGACTGGGTCCTCAGAGGAAGTGGAATCCATGGACCGGAAAACGGTGAGGTCATGAAGCTGGTGCTGTGGAACCGGCTCAAGCAGAAGCGCCCTCAGCGACAGGGCGTCACCACGGCAGATCTGCAGGAGTTCTATCGAATGGAGGTCACAGTCGTGTGGTGGATGTTTGGCCTCGTGTTCTTCGTGGCACCCCTCAACTGGTGGGGAAAGAAGTACCGCATGGTCCACGACCACTACCCGTGGATGGCCGCGCGCATCGATGGCACCCGCGGTGTGGGCCCCTACGCCTGGTTCTTCGAGTGAAGCCTTAATGCCCAGAGCCATCGGCTGTGCTGTCGCAACAAGTAGCCTTTTTGATGTATGCTGGAAGTTCTGCTTCGACGTTCCCCTTGATCGCGCACAAAACAGTGCGCATTTGCTAATGATGATGCTGTATTGTGCCTGGTTTCTGTGCACAGATCTGTTTGCCTGTGGGGCCGTTATTCCCCAGACAGTGTGGTATACATTATGGGGTTCCAGTAGGATTGAGCAGGAATGTTTGGTTCCGCTTCGCGACACGTGCGGAAAGTGTTGTCCGGGACGCGGCTGCCGCTGTTGCGGTGCAAATTTTGCGCTCTCGTCCTATTCTTTACACCGGATCGTGGTGGACACGAGCCTCCGGGAGGCCAGACTTAGGGAAATTGCAAAACCCAGGACACCTTTTTGCCTCGAAAACCTTGAGTTGCGCCATTGCCTTGAGGAAAGCATTTTGCTCGTTGTCCTGAATCGCTCCCGCAATAAGTTGAGGGAAAGCATTTTGGCCTTGCTCCGGCATCCTTGAATCCCAACAGTACTTGGAAGGAATCTTGGCCCTGGTCCCCATATCGCGGCATGGTCCTGAATACCGCCAGTATTTGGGGAAGGCCTCCGGCCGCGCTCGTGAATTCCAACAGCGTTTGTTAGAAAGCACATGAACGCGAGTTGCCCGTGTTTTGGTGGTTTTCTGAGGCCGCCTGATGTTTCTTGCTGGTTTTCTGCTTGCCGTGGTGGTCCTGGCAACCAATGCTCGTGGTCGTCATTGTGCTGTTGTTTCACTGTTTGTTGATCTACGCTGGCATAATTACTGCAGGGCTCGGGGAAAGCAGTCCCAAGAACCGGCCAAGATTGTTGAGTTACATTGTTGAGCGCAGGTGCCCTCGACGGCAGCATCAGATGTGCAGCCTCCGCTGCGCTCTTAGAGTCTTTGACTGCCTCCAGCTTGTCGTTTGGCTGAATGATGAATTGTGCATTCTTGTCGTGAAGCAATGTGATGCATGTGGCCAAAGGGGGTGATTCTATTTATGTTGGACTTTGGTAGACAGCCTCAATATACTCAAGCGCAGGCGCCATCAGGGGCCTCAGGGGCCCTAGCAGCTAGCACGAAAGTTCATGGTGTAGGAGGCTGAGTCGTGTTTTGCTGGATGGAGGAGGCGGAGGTGGAGGCCGATTCAGCAGATATTGACGAGCTTCTTCGTGCAGACCTGCAAGCCCTGGTGGAGGCTCCGTTGGAAGGCTCGCGCTCAGGTGGCTCATTCAGTGACACGTTGCTACGTGGCTACGATGGTCAGGTGGATGCCCACATGGCCTTGCTTGCAGTCCGCTGTCCGGGGCTAGCGGAGAAAGCCATCTCTCAGCCGAGTGAGCCGACCTGCAGATTCCTTATCCAAATGCCTGAGACCCCGTTGGAAACTCTCCAGAATGCGGTCTTCTTTCTGTACACCGATCGCATCGCGCCACAAGCGCGCGACAATGTTGGCCAAATGTTTGCATTGCTGAGGGTGGCCCGCGACCTGTACCTGCCGGAAAAGAGTGACTCCTCAGCTTCGTCAGGGTGCAAGAGGAGACGCATAGACACCAGAACGTGTGCTATGAGACGCTTGTGTAGCCTGTGCGAGCACCGTATACGTGAGTTGCTGAGCGCATCGACTGTGATAGAGATTCTCTCGTGCTCAGTGAAGCTGGGTGCTACGTTGCTGGAGCACTGCGTGTACGAATTCTTGAAAACCCTGCCGCCTCGCACGAAGGATGTAGATTTCAGCAGGAGCCTCATCAACACTCTGGGCAAAGACCACCCAGAAGTGCTTGCGAAGGCAATCTCGGCGACTGCGGGCAACACGCCGGCTTCTGGTCTCTCTGGGGCCGAAGCTCCGGCCGTTCCGGCTCCGTGCCTTCTCCTTCATCTGCAGTCGCTCTGGCGACAAACTTCAGCACAGGACCAAGCGGGAGAAGACGTGCGCGAGCCTGTAGCAAGGCCTGACTGCAAGCTGAATTTGGGCCCAGGGAAGGATTCGCCACCCTGCCATGTGCTTGCGCACCGTTTCCTTTTGGCAGCGCGATCGAGGTTTTATGCTTGCGCACTGAGCTCACCTATGAGAGAAGCTCAAACTGGAGACATCTCACTTGGAGTGATACCTTCGCCCAGTGTCAGCAGTGTGCGGACTTTGCTTAAATACCTTTACACAGGGAGATTGGAGATGATCGAAGGCACCGAAGGCCATGACCTGATGCAAACTGACCTGCTCGACATGCTTTCAATCGTCGACGGCCCTGGAGGGCAGAACTATTTGCAGCTTTCCGAGCAAGTGTGCGATCTACTCCGGGATCAGCTGACAGAGCAGATCAAGGCGAATCTTCGACAGGACAACATGTGGATGGTTCTTCGAAGGGCAACAGCTCAGCGCAATCGAACCATCCAGAAGGAGGCATTAATGGCAGTGCTGAGCTGTTGTGAGGAGCTCTCACGAGACCAGGAGTTGTTCAGGTGCTGGGGCGATTGTCCTGTACAGACAGTGGACGCTTGGTGGACGCAGCGCATGGAGACTGAGCTGCTTCGCGAGATGCTGAGGTTGAGCTGCACACTCGGTTCTGGAAGACAAGTGCATCACGACAACTGGGAGCTGGAAGTCGTGCATCCAGCCCCTGAGGGTGTCGACAACGTATTCAACCTTCGAGGGAACGGGCACTTGTTGCAGGAGTGGAGCGATCGTGGGTCTGCGTGCGCGTGTCTTGGCAACGTTTGACGTCTTCCCTGCAGTGCGTTCAGCTGCGCAGTAGGTCGTCTTAGGTGATAGGCACCTGGGCCTGCCTATCTCCTTGTGAGAGTCTGAGGCGCCGTGGTAGCATCGTCGCCAAGTTCAAGCATCCCGTCCATGTGGACTTCGTGACGGTTGCTCCCCTTGACGGTTGGGGTAGTGAATACTTAAAGAACGCCAGGCTTCATGTGAAGAATGCTGATGGTGTTTGGGAGCGACTTGCAACAGCCACAGGCCGGGTCGAGCAAATACCTGTATTCAGACGGGCTACGACGTGGCGTTTACACGGGGACGAGGTTGCTACTGCGGTCCTCAAATTCCGTAAAGAGCCTGCGCGACCTTGCAGTGAGTTTGAGCATACGGAGAAGGCGAGGTGCAAAGGATCCGATGGCACGTACAAGTTTGTGTACTTCAAGTTTCCTGTCGCGGTCCATGTAGATGATGTGACGGTCCCCGCAGATCCCATATTGACCAGAACGCAACTGCAAGTGAAGAATGCAGATGGTCAGTGGGTTGACGTCGGAGCGCAGCTGACAGGGCGAAGCCAGCTTGTTTGGGTCAACAGGGACGGTCGCTTCTGGCGCTTGCGGAATCTTTCCGGCTTGACTGGGTGGGATGTGAATATCTTCACCTTCACTTCAAAATGATGGTGGGAGCTTTGGCAACAATTACTGCAACCGATGATCAACGACGTTGCCACGTCTTGTTGGGATTTCTTAGCAGTGCCCGCCCACAAACAGAGTCTCAAAATCGATGGCCCTCTCAATGATTGCTGTGAGCTGTGAGCATGAACGTTTTCGCCTAGGTGTCATGTGCATATTTTTTTGCCGACGTTGACCCTATCGATGTTTCCTGGTGCTGTGATGCTCTCGCCTAGGCACAGTGTTTAAGGGCCCGCAAACGTTGAGAGGTGTCGCAAACATTCGCAAACATCACAAATAAATAGTACACTTCTGACCTCGCGGCCAAATCGTGCGCTTGCCTTGGTCCTGCAAATCCTCATCCCGCCTCCTAGGCCCCTTGCTTTCGGATGGATTATTTTGGTGCATCCGTTTTCAGGGGATTTGCATCTGGTGGTAGCGCAAAAAGCGCGCATTTTGAGTGTTTGCCAGGGTCATCTTGCGTCTTTAGAGTGGTTAGCTCTCGGGGTGCTCTTGGAATGATGCATCTTCTCAACACTCTGGATGTTTGCACCTTGGCCTGAGGCCCTTTCTGGGGGAGGATTCTGAGCAACCGTGCTGTCTTCTTTGAGGGCAGCCGGTGGCGGGACTGCCGGCTGCAAAGTCAATGACTTTGGCTGGTTGGTTAGATGGTAGAGGACGGTAGATTCGCTAGAGATCAGTGGCTTAGCTTCGCTGCTGAACGGAGCTGATGCTGACATCCCTTCTTGCATGAGTTCGTGGTTGGGGCAGGATTGGCCAATCCTGAATATTTAGCAGATGCCAGAGAGCAGTAGCACGCGGAGCATGAGAAATCCAGCTAGGTTTTCTGCGCCACGATTGACTAGGAATCTCCGACATGCCTTTGGCTCTTTGATTGGGTTTCCTTCGAGTCAGAAGTCCAATCGTATGTTCAATATTGGTAACTTGCTTCTGTCTGGATTCCAGTCTGTCCGCTTGCTTTCCGCGTCATAGATTTCGATTGCATTACGGTGAATGCTAGCTTCTCTCGGCTGTAGAGGCCGCATTGGCACCTAGTCGAACTGATGTGGGCCTCCTGTGCGAAGGCATTCCCACAGGAAACGGATTGTACTTGCTAGTTTGAATGGCAAAGTTGCAGAGCCATGGACGATTCTGGCATTGAAGTGGAGGGGGATGAAGACTGGCGCTGCTTGGCCAGCACTAGTGGTTGATGTGTACTTCAGCAGCAGATTGCGAATGAGATGGGCCAATGCCGTCCACGAAACCAGACCGGCGGCATAGTTACACCCTGTGCTGCACCGGCGATCTCAATCTCAGGGACAAAGCTTCGAGCTAGCGAAGCAGGGAAATGAAGCACGTAGAGGGCGTGAACCGAGTGATTTGTCGGGTATAGGGGATTCAGTGTGAGGAAGCTTGTGAGCCATGTCTGGGACCTGTGACTTTGCGTTACAGCTTCCACATGTTGAGCTCCGGCGTAATTATTGCTCGGTAACTGCTGGTTATCGAACGTTCTCCTTAAAGGCTTTTCTCGGTTCCTCAGTCTCCATGACTTCGGAAAGGCTACGGGCCTCTTGGACGGGCCGGTTCCCAGACGCCGGTCGAACCTGCGGCAGAGGTGCCAAGAGCCTCAAGTTGCACATTTTCGAGTTTGCTCTATCTGGAGTTGTGCACAGAAAAGTTCCGTAGTTTTGGCTTGTCACGGAGGTTTCTGCAAGTGCCAGCTTCGACGATGAGGAGGAGTTGCGGGGTAGAGGTGTCCTTCAGCTTTGGCTTGCCTTCGCTCGAGCTGTCCGGACCTTGACTGTTGCGAGATGTTGCGAGTGGACGTGACCACTAGGAGGATGATGAAGACTGGCGGTATGGGCCTTTGGGCAGAGCTGGCAGCTTTGCTGCATGTGTACACTTCTCTGTCAGAGTTGTTCTGGGATGCCGGCCGTGCCCAGTATGTAAGGCGTGATGAAGGACGAGGAGCCTGCAGATCCCATGCCATCTGGAAGCTCGAAAACGGAGGTGTCGCTTCTGGACATGAGAGACAGGAAATTCTTCTCGACCAGTTTCCATCCGGCGTGCGCAGCCACGATGTCGAGCAGGTGTGCACAGACGCGTCTGCGGAACCCCTCCGGCACGAGGAGGCCCTAATCATTGCTACGAGCTGGTCACCACGCCATTTCATACCTGGCAAGTCGGCCAGAGATGGTGCAGGTGCGACCCCGCACGATCTGGGCATACTGGGCACAGGGCCACGAGCCCCTCGCTCTGGTGTGGCTGCATGTCCTGGTGCTTGCTGTAAGTCCTTTCAGAGAGTCGCCATGCGCGTCATTCTGCAGAGTTCTGCGTAGAAACTTGTATGTAGCCGGAGCGCACTGTTGCAATGTGGTAATGGAAAAGCCACGAGGCAGATGCCGGAGTTTTTCCGAATGTGCGTGGACACTTGGCAGCGAGTCAACCCACACTGGGATGCCACTTGGCTTCAGGCTTAACCGAATCAATATCAAACAGATACCTTGCCATGGACAGCAGCCGGGAGTTTGCCCGAGGCGCTTGTGGTTGGTTCCCTGCGCAGCGAAGCAGGTAGAGATGAAACCTTGCACCCGACGAGGTGCGAATTTTGCAGAAGTCGACGGTCATGGAGCATCTTAGCACAGTTGGCTGGGATTCCATTCCAGTCACACGCTCTGGGTGGAGGTCTGCGTTTCGTGCGGGCAGGTTTGATATCACGGCCAGAATTCTGAACTTGAGTGCGGACACCTGCACTGAGGTATCTGACTGAGGACGAGCTGCCCAACCGGTTTATGGATATGACTTCGCACCAGACAGCTACTTGCCAAGCACTAACTCCGACAAAAGCGGTCGTGGTTGTCCGACTGAAGATCAGGCTTCTGATGCAGTGCGGCTGGGCGTGCTTTGCCGCTATGGGGGTGCTTCTCGACAACATGGGACACTGGAGGATTCACAAGGGTTGTTTTCCTATTCCCGTTTGGGCTTCGCAAGCCTCCTCAGGTGGCTTTGAGTGACTGCGCATGCCAATTCCTCGTGCTGCATGACATGCATGACCCCTGGGCCAGGGAGCTGGCTAGCCTTCATGACTCTGCATGCCTCGAGGTGTGGATGGATGTGAACATCTTGGTCTGTGGCAGTCTGGACAAGCTGTGCTGGAATGCCATATCGTGGGGGCAGAAGCCGGCGTGTGCATCTCGCCGCCGTTTGAGAGCGCGTCATGATGCGTCATGCCTGTTGTCTACATGGTTTTTCTGCATGCTTCTCCCTGTCTGTCAAGTCGCAGGTTTTCTACCACCCTTCTTATGGAACTGAAGCTCTTGGCGGTCGCGACTTCGTCGAGAGCTACAGGGCAAAGTTTGGAGGTTCGAGGTGTCAGACCATGCGATGACCATGCGGCCAGGCTGCTGCTTCAGCACGAAGGATCACGAAATATCACGAAGGTAAGAAGGTTTCCTGAGGCGGTCTTCCCAAATGTTCCTGTGACACGGGGGCCCCTGACAAAACGGGGACAAGCAGATGAACCGTCCTGCTTTGCAGCTAGAGTTCCACGCAGACTCTACGGAGTGGAAGTTGAAGCCAACGTGCCGGGATGTGCCGGGGAACTTCACAAGAAAGCTCGTCGCTGTCTAGCTGAGTCTAACGGCACCTGTACCGAGAGTCAGGTTGGTTTCTCGCAACCGGACCACGCAATCCATTTTTCATCCGCTGGAGAGACATCTTCAAGGACATTCACGGCATGTGGGCGTCGTCAGAAATTCAATTTGAAGGAAATGCCGGAGTGCAGAAGCAAACAAGCTTTCGTGCCATCCATCGGTGTGGAAAGTGGCTGTTTCTTGGAGGGTCAGCCTTTCCGTGTGGTGCGCCGGTTCGATCGTTTCTTCGTGCTCGGACGCGTGTTGTGCAGGAGCTGTTTCACGACCGCCTGGACATAAAAGGATTGTTGAGTCATCCTTTCTACAAGGTGCGGAGATTCAGTTTTGGGCCGTCTCTCAGCACCCCCATACCAAGCAGGGCTTGGACCTCTCTGGCTTCGAAAAGCTGAACAAGGATTTCAGTGGGTCAGGACATTGGCTTCGCAGCTTTGTGATACCTTCACACACAGCGGCCGACAGGGAGAGAGGAGTTTGACAGTCTTGGCAGGAATGGAGTTTCGAGAATACCTCGCTATCCATGCCATGTGCGGCTTGAGTCAATTGGTGACTGGACAGGGCTTGTTTGCACATGGCAGATCAGTTTCTCTGCTTAAGTTTTCACAAGCCTGCAGTTGCGACGTGGCTAAGGCCATCGACTGCTGGAGACGGAGCCGGAGGCACGCCGCCTTTGGCGTGATCGTTTCATCCAGGCCATGGCTCGAGGTAGACATCTGATGACATGTGATATCACATCTGTGGATCCCCATAAGACCAGAAGATGTTGATAGATCAGCAGGTGAATGCCGCTGACACAGCATCCGGGCCGCGCTCATGTGTCCGATTTCGTTTGTGTGGATACTCGTGAGGATACTCGTGATTGTGAGACTAGCACGGTCCGGGACCTGAATGATAGAGTGGCAGGGTACTTGATTGAAGACCCCAAGCAGCCAAGGCATTCAGACTGCAGATGGTGGCTCAGGCCAGCAACCTCCACATGGCGCAGGTGGCTGGGGCTCGAGGTTTTCAATTGCAAGCACAAATCTTGGATGCTTAGAGGGCGCCGATGCGAGGTTCTCCTGCTGGAGGATGGGCGTGCGGAGCAGCTCATCGAGGGAGTGCCGTGCTCCGTCTTGAGCGGGATCTCAAGCACTTGCAAGAGTCGGCCATTTATGGAAGAAGTGTAATTCCGGAGCAGTTTTGTCGGGGGGGGGGGGGGGGGGNNGGGGAGTATTGAACGACGTGTAAGCTGCACAGGCCTCAGCGATGGGTTAGCCAATGTACCAAAACTACAAAGGCAAAGTACAGAGTCAGGAGATTATGTCCATCAACGCCGTCAGCTGCAGCACATGCCCTGTCATGTGTCCGAGGTTGATCAAATTTCGCACGCCTGACTATGGCCCCTTGCTGCAGCTTTCAGCTTTGCAGCTGAAGGACCGGAGACGCATGTCCTGTCCTGTCGTCGCAGAATTTGATGCTGAGTCAGGACGGAAAGCATCTCCTGGGCCGCCTACTGGATCCGCCGGATGCCGCAGAGGTGGGTCGTGTCAATGGAGGCTGCGGCGGAACCACGGAGTGCCAGGAGTCTCTGACATGTCAGGCCATGCGTCAGCCGGTATCATCTCGGGCGGCCTTCAGACACTTGGCGACACTTGGGGATTCCGTGACTCAATGAATGTTGTCGGCCAACTTCACGCCAAAGCATGCTAGATGGCGAGAAAGCACGGAAGTTAGCCTGTCAGAACTGCTTCTGAGGCGCAGTACCACGTTTGGGTGGGCGGCGGCATTTGGCCACTGCCTCGGAGCTTTTCACGCGTGTATTGCAGTGAACCATCTAGCTGGTTGGTATAGTCTTGCCGCAGGTGACCGCTAGCCTTGCGGCGGTCTTATGCAGGCACCTGGTTTTCTTGGATCGGCTTCTGTTTGATCTGGGCAGTTGCTTGTCTAGCCTTGCCCCGTGCTGCTCTCTGACCCTGTACAGGGCAATACCGGCCTCCCCGCTGGCCTGCAAGGAGTTTGCAGGCTTTGGGCCTGGATGTGTCTAGAGCATCAGACTCATCAGACATGAGTCCTCGGACTGCGTATGCTTTTCCCATCTGCTCAGTTGAGTCCAGCCTCGGCCTGCATGCCCTGCTCGGAGGCAAGTCGTCCCCAGCTCGGGGAGCATGGCCTGCCCGACAAGGGGCTCCGTTCCTGCGGCCAAGGCGGACGATGACACCCTAGAATCTGGAACAGATTGTTTTTGCTAGTTGGAAGTTGCTTAATTTACGGGTTCCAGCAAACGAAGAGTCTCTCCCCCAACAAAGCAAATCCAAGCCATCCCTCAACAGAAGAGCCTGGCATCCTCGGCAGGAACCCAGCCTGTCGGCCTGTACAGTCTAGGCTGTTTGCTTGCAGCATCCCGGAGGCCAGTGATCCCTGCCTTGGGGAGGCATTGATGCGGCTGATGCCGCTTGTCTTGGTTAAGCAGCCGTGGAAGACGTCTGAGGAGGTTCGCCTGTAAACACTCGGCCTATGCCACGTGTTTTGATGAAAGTGCTGTGCGAGGTCTTGGTCTGCACGTAACTGTTGCTGAGTGTGGAAGAAGTGGACTATATTGTTGCCACAGTGTTGAACCCGTGCTTGGTGTGTGACATAAAGTGTCCTGCCACGATGAGCTTGAAGGCACTTCGTGATTTGCGGCTGCCGCCTGACCTCGGGCATGTTCGCCATGTTGAAAATGCTTTTGATCGCGCCGCAGATCTGTTCTCTTGCTGCCGCCACAGCTTTGCTGCCTGTTGTACGTCATTTCTTCATCCCTAAATAGTGTTCCACTCTGAGGGTTCTAAGGCCAAGATAGATATTTCAACTGGTCGTCCAGGATGGAGCATGCTGCAGCCGATGTCTTGCGGCAGAGAACTCTGAAAATGCCTGATTCGACTGACTGCAGCGAACCTTCCGTAATCGTCCGGCCGATCGAAGTGCTGCATTTGATTGTTATGTTTTCGGGCCATAGGATGATCCTTGCTTAGCCTGCATGCCCGCCGAAGCGTCTTGCCAGCTATGCAGAGAAAGCCGTTCCACAACAGTCACAGCGTAGTTTTTGGGCGAATGCTTGGCAGAAGCTTTCAAGGCCTAAGCTGACGGCTTTGCCTTCTGCGCAGGCTTGGGCAGCAAGTGCAGGTCGTCGTTGTGGCCCCGAGGCAGCTGCACAGGCAAGGCACACATCTTGCGCGATTCCATCCCAAGAGTGCCAAATCGCCCTTCAACCGCTTTAGCTTTAGCCTTTGCAGGCAGGTTGTGTTCAACACATTTCAGGCTGTGCTCCAACAGAACGTGACCGCCATCCAAGCGAAGCTCTGCACAGAGCAGGCGCTCTCAGCTGGGGTTTTATGCTGCTTTAAGCTTGAGCATTATGCCTTAATCCGCCGATGTCAGTGAGGATTGACCCTGTGGCTCCGAAGCGTGTGCAAAGGGTTCAGAACATCGTGGGTGGCGTCTGAGAGACAGGCCGCACTTCGGTCAACGCAGACACAGCTGCAGAAGACAGAGGCGTCAGGAAGATAATATCCTGTTCAACAGGGCCACATAGTGCAAGCACCGGGTGTCACGTTTCATCAGGAAGTCCATCGCTTGAGCAAGTCTTGCAGTCAGCAATCTTGGTGGTGAAGGGGCCTCGTCAGTTTTGAGTCTTTTGGCCAAGCCGACCGTGCAAGGTTCAAGGGGGTCGAAAACTGACTGAAGCTTGGTGCTCTGCCATGACGCAGTTGATTGGGCTTAAGCCGTGCTCAGGAAGCTATGCGGCAGGAAGGGGACATGCCACCTCTTTGCTTCTCCGCTAGTCACAACTACAACAGTACGTGGCCACATGGATCAAGCATTGTCAACGCGCCTCACTGAAACATCAGTCTGCCACTTCGTACCTCTATCATCCACCCGCTGCAGAGATGTCGGTGGGTGAACCATTGCAGAGATGCCTTGTGGTTGCATCAGCCTGCAGCATGCAGTAGCAACGTGCTCGTAGCTGGCTCCGTCCGGATTGTGTTTGCTGTCTGCTGTTGTGTCCATCACGCATGATGTGACCGCACGCGTTGCATCGAGGTTTGGGCGACCTAAGCAAGCACATCGACGCTCTAGTCTCGCAGAACGCGGCAATGCGGAAAGAAATTCAGAAGCTGTCTCGCGGCCGCAATGATGGCCTTAGATCGCTGCGAGCTTTTGGGTGGTGGGTCATTTGGTCGGAACTCGCGGCAGACAGCCACGATAGGGCTTAGGAATGCCCGGCGCAACTTCAACGTCTTAGTTTCTTGCTGGTCGACAGCAGTTCCCATTGGGCCTGGCTGAATCAAGAGGTCAGGGAAACTCGACCTCCAACAAGCTGAAGACCAGCGCCACTTGGAGTCTGATGAGACTGGCTTTCTGCTCTTTGACTTCTGCAACTTCACAAGCTTTAACACAACGATAACAGGGTGTGGTGTCATGTGAGCGCTCATGTGCTGTCGATGTTGGCCTTGGTGATACTGCTGCCTTGGGTTGGAATAGCTACCCAAGCAACATTCAAATCTCATGGATTGGAGCTTTTCTCTTGTTAGCTTCCTCATTTCTTGCCGGGCACTAGGAATGGAGCTGCTCGGCGTTGTTCCGGATGCGAGGCACGAGAAAGAGGCCGGCAGACTGCCATGTCACTAGACATCGTGTCTTGTCATCCTGCAGAATAGATCTTGGGGTGGAGCGAGAACTTTTGCTTATACGTAACCTCACAAATTGAATCAACCTGCATCCCTTGAATTTACGGTTCTCAACACTTACCCCCGCAGATGACTGAAAGGGAACCTTTTCCCTTGGAAACCTGGAACACGGAGTACGTATCGCATTTCGTGTTGGCGGATGCAGTGTCCAAGCGTTTCTAAGGTGTCTGTGAAGCCGCCACCTGTGCCGGAGGCTTCTTGGCAGGTGGCAGGTTTGAAACCAGCCACAGTATACGACTTTTCTCTGAGACCGCCGAGCTCCACGCAGTGCCCATTCGTGCTAGGTTGCTATGCTAGGCTCCGCATTCTGTTTGTCTTCCTTCGACGTACACTGCGCGACACGCGTTTGCAATCTCCAGCGCAGTCGATCGGACCTCCGAGCCTTCGCAAAACGTGTCCAAGTTTCGGTGCTCAGAGATAGGCGCTATGACAACATGCGTGCATCATTTGCACACATACATGTGCACGAGTCGCGGGCACATGCAGGATGCCAATGCGTAGACCAACAGCCATTGGTTAGGTGGATGCATACACAGAATACTTGGCTGATTTCAGCAAAGTCGGAAGGATACATTCGGGCGACATAAATATACTCCACGTGTCGGTAGTTGTGTCTAGATGCACAGCGTTCGTTGTGAGGTTGAGCCGCCGCCGAGCCAGTTAGCTAAGAAGCAAACAGAGGCAACGCCTGGATGTTTGCCGTGGCTGTGGGTCAGACTTTCGGTGGTTGATGTTACTTGCAGCGTTCGCAGCAGGTTTTGTGCTTGCGGCAATCTCGCCTCCGAGTCCCGTCTAACCGTTGCAAGATACTGACACCTGCCTCTGGGCAGATGCCAAGTTCGGAAGCCTGGCCTAACGAGGAAGTCGACGAAGCATGCTTGTGCATCCCTTCGAGAGCGGTCCCACCGGAACAGTGCCAGGCATACCTGCATCAGCTGTCTTGGGGCCTTGATGAGAACACCTCTTCTTGGGCCCCTCGTCGACAGTATGGGCACTCCATCTTTCGGGTGCGACATGGTGTTGACAGAAATACTAGTTTCATCCAGAAATTTCGAGAATGCAACGTGCACCGTATGCCTCCACAAGTTCAACCCCGCGGCTGCGCCTGCCTTTGCTACCCAGGTGAAGAGCCTCAAGGCCATGGGCCTTGCAGGGTCAATTCGCGGAAGAGCTTGCGCCGGGAAGCTTGCAGTTTCCAGCCCCGCCATTGCCGGTGCGAACAGCTCAGGGCTGTTGTTGTATGTCAAAGTTATCACGAGTACTAGAATCTGTTACCAGAAGATGCTAGACACCCAACTTGCTGCAAGCGTGCCGCTGGTCAGGGCGCCGGCGGCATGCTGGGAGCAGCGCGCTTGGGCCAGCTGCTCTTCGACCTAACTTGACCCGACCTGCATGTGCACTTTCTTTTTGCTGGCTTGCGCGATTCCCTACCTAGCAAAGTTGCCACAGGTACCCTGCGCAGGCAAGTTACGACATGAGCATTCAAGACCCCAGCAGCGAGTGAGCTAATTCATGGTATCTTCATAAAGACAGCAGATCTTGCCCTCACGCACCAGCAACCTACCGTTAACGCAGAAAGCGGCCGCCAACGACGTCTCCAGACCACGCTCCGCTGCAGAGCCACTTGGACGAGCGAGGGATGCGGATGGGAGATATCAGCAGAAGTGAATCGGGCCTGGCTCAGCTTTGGTGAAGGATCCATCCAACGTTTCGCTTCTGATTACCATCTTAAATTGTCTTTTCAGACCTGCCGATGTGTGTACACCCTTCGACAGAACTTGCGTACCGAGATTTGGGCCAGTGATTCCGCATCAGTTGAAGCGCAGTTAGTCCCGTCAGAAGGACTTGAGAGATACAGATACCCAGACATGGAGTCGATTTCTGGACGGTCACATTGAGAGTGAAGCGAGACGACAAGGCTTCAGGGAGCTCTTCCACTGGGTCACGGAGATGGGTGGTGTCAGCCGGGGCAAAGACGAGCCTTTGATCACTGCTTTTTGCAACAGCGTCTTGGCAAGGTGGTATGAAGCTAGACCTTAGTCATGGGCAGCATGCCGCAGCTTGCCAGGCTCCCTCTTCAAGTCACTTTGCACCTTGGCGATCATGGCCAATACGGTGTATCTGGGAGTGGCTGCAGACAATGCCGTCAGGGCAAGCAGCTTGGACCTGTTTGGCTGGCATGGGCTGTTGAGCTGGTCCAGGTATGTGCAGGCTCAGACAGGTGCAGCTCTGGTTCCATGGTTCCATGCTAGGCAAGCCTCCTGCTCAGCTCTGGAAATGTTCGGATTCGGGGTCGAAGAGGGCGTTTGTTTTCCTCACTGCCCGAGGCTACGACCGCATCCTGGGCAAGGAGGTTTCCACTGTCGACCGAACGCCTGAAATCTGCTTCACGGCCCGGTGGCATAGCAAGTAGCGAGGGGTCGGGGTACTGAAACAGAGAGACGAAGATTCAATGATCCTTTGTTGTCCGCACTACCCCACGAGAAGTTGGTGCGCAGTTGCACGAGCTGCTCCGGCCCTCCCAGCCCAATGAAAGACGCGTAATTCTGTCCCATGGAGAGTACTCTGGCCAGGTCTGGTTCTCCATCGAAATCCTTGTGAACTGTGCAGGCTTCGGCTGGAGCAGCTCGGTTCCAACATGTATGTATATATATATACATACATACATACATACATACATACATACATACATACATACTCATACATACACACACACATACATACACACACATATACGCATTTTGATGAACAGCCAAGTCCCTTTCCTTTCCGTTGCTGTGCTCACAGTTGCAGGCTTCTTGACGGGTCCATCCCGGCTATTCAACATTTTTGACGTGGTCCTTGTCGTCAACTCGAAGCTTTGGCCAAAGTTGGCTCTGCATGGTAGAGTTGGCATCTCTCGGCTTGCCCCTTGGGTGCTTTGGGCACCTTCGACCTTATGCTGGGCTCCAACCAGCTTACCCAAAGATAGTCCGGCCTGGCCCCGGCCTTTGCACAGGATTGTGGAACTGACATTGGCAGACAACGCGCCCAACGGGCTGAATTTGTCTTGGCCTTAAGATGTCTGAGCCAGAGCATGCCAGAGCTGGAGGTGGTGAACTTTGGAAAGGAGGGTTCGCCGTGGGATGTCCAAAGAACTAGCATAGCTAGCGGGGGTCGAAGTATTCGCCTGATTCAGCTCGGTACTTCCGTTGCAGCGTATTTGGCGACTCCCTGCCACGCCCGTCGCGACTAGCTAGCGATGACAGTCTACCTGGAATGACAGCCCCCCATGGTTGTAAGATCTCTTCCGGTGACCGGTTGCGAGAAGCGTCTGTCTGGGGATTTATCCCAAACGAAGGTCCTTCCTGCGCATCTTCCGCGTCTTCCGTCTCATACGAGTGGTGCGGCTAGTGCGGACGTTGCGCAGTGCCGAGGTTGCATTGAGGATGTCACATCGTATGTGGATTGCAGATTTGTATATCAATAGCAACCCGCGACGGATAGGGTTGGACGTGACAAGGTCTGCGCAGTTTGAGGACGATGCTCTTCTCCATCATCTCGCAGCTTGCTGTTTCATGGGTCCCGTTTGACCTGGCAGAGCATGTGCACTAGCGACGCTGCAGTGCGCGGTGCTGTGGGTGATTTCCTTGTGCCTGTGGCCTGCGACCAGTGAAGGATAGTGATGGTGCCGGTAGACTCTTGCAGACTCCTGAGCTCAGGTCCATCGGAGCTCTGTTCTGGGCATTTGTCATGCTGCTGTTGACGATGTTCATGTTGCCCGGACGGGCATATCAGTTGCGGTTTGTGGAAATGCTGGATGCATCGTCAGAGACAAGTTTCTCTCCTGCCATCTGTTGCTTGCCAGGTTTAGCATTATTTTTGGCAACGGTATATCTCTGTACTTCGACGAGCTGAACACTAACGACCTTGACAAGGCACGGAACGGCACCCACCGCACATGCCCACGAGACACGTGTGCCATGCTTCCCCACGGAAGGTGGAGAATGCTCGCACAGTCTATGCACCTTCTCTGGAATCTGCAGATGCTTTTTAGAGCAGTGGCTTTGACTCTCACAGGCTTGGCTCCTCTGCTCATGCGCATATACCTTCCAGCCGCAGATTGCACATGTGTTTTGGAAGTGAGCCGAGGAGTATTTTGGAGGAACTTACGAAACGCTAGTTTCTTGGCCATCGCAATGCTCGGACATTCGGTTCTACAGAACTCTACAGCGACGAAGCAGCTTTCCCTTCGCTTTTTCGGCGTTTCTTTCGCGGCCGCGCGTCGGGTTCAGGAAGAGGGCTGCCTGTCCCATGATCCAACGTGAGGTTAGCCTCTTCTGCTCCGTTTCTGGGGGCAACGACTGGATGACCTACGGGGAGACCCTTCGCTTGGGGCCGCTTGGGCAAAGTGAGAAGAGCCCTTTCCGCTTCAGCAGAGCCGGGGGGGGGGTCTCGCCTCCGAGGCCCGGCGAGGTGTACTTTGTGCTTTTCGCTTTGCCCTCAGCTCTTCCTGTGTTCTCATTCGCCGCCGGCAGTTCTTGCAGTTTCAACGTTCCAAGAGACAAGCGCGCTTTTGCTCGACTAAGTTCATCAAAGACTTTCATGCAGCAGGTGCTTTCTACTGCTACTGATGTCCTTGCTTCCCCGTGGCACAAGGAGTTGCCACCACAACTCACACAACAACAGAACTTCAGCCGTAGCTTGATTTGGTTGTCACTCTAACCATAGCCCAGAGGCATGTCTGCAAACACCAATGGTGAGAAGAAGGCGAGTTTTGAGTTTCCGTTTGAGCTGCGTCGCCTTGCGGACGAGACAGTCGGGCTACACTACAGACCAATCTGCCGCACTGATAATTCCTTCGTCGATTTTGAGGTGACGGATGTTCTCTACAGCGCCCAGCGTCAGAACGAGGTGCTGCGCAGATATTGCGTTTCGGAGATACAGGACCAAATCCTGAAAAAGGGAGACATCATCCTGGAGATCAATGGAAACAAGACCCAGTCGGCTATGACTCACTAGTTGCAAGCATCCCTCGAGCTCTACATGAGAGTCTGGAGGGACATGTTGGAGGACAAGGATGACCTTACACCTTTGATGCATGTTATCTCAGAGTACGCCGGAACGGCGGTGGAAAAAGAGGGTGGCTACCTGACGGTAACCAAGAGAATGCAGATCCGTGTTCAACGAGACACCCGCGCCCCACCAGAGGAGACCAATGCCCATCGCTGCGACTACATCTGGGGCCGGCTTCTGGACAAAAAAGTGCACGAGGGCGGCTGGCTGCCCGTGGATGTTCTGGCTGCTGGGCAGATCAGATTGTGTACGATCTCCGCGAGGTTGGAATCTCAGAACGTGGATGGATGCACGTAGTAGCTCTGTGATCACCAGCATTGCTGGTCGAGCATTCACGGGACTTGGCCTGCCCAGTCCACAGTGAAGAATTCTTTAACGACTGATTCAGCGGAGTTGTGGATGCTCCAGCAGGAGAATCTGATTCGAGCTCTGGTAAAAAGCCGCACTAAGACTTTAGCTAATCATTCCAATGCTGCGATCTTTACTCCGGAAATAGGAGAGACTGCAAAGGGCCGTTTGCTCGGGTCTGCCTCCAGATGGGATCTGCCAGGTGTTCTACATCTTCTTTACATTAGTTGGCCTGCTGAACGTGGTGACAGGTGGCTCAGAAAGGTTATAGAGTCCAGAGCTTTTTGTTGTACAATGTTGTGCGCAATGCCTCCCATGCTTTCGGTTGCGTTTGACAGTGGATAGTTGGCAACACCAAGAGTAAGCAGGCTCCACCTGGCAGTACGTGCGCTAAGGTATTTTTGTCGATTCGGCAGTGTGCACGCGGACAGAGGATGAGGTGTTCCGCTGACTGCATGCAATAATTTAAAGGTAAGAATATAGACTGGCCCTTTGTGAGGGCAAGAGCGGTTGGGTGGAGGTGAAGTGCAGTGCCAGAACTCTGTTAAGCGACGCTCTTGCACAAGCGCAACACCGCAAATCCCAATCTTGTTCTATCGTGGCTGTTCGGAGGTCGTGGAAAGCTTCACCGAGGAGCAAAAGCGCTTGTGTGGCATCTTGGCTGAATGCAGAAACGCTAGTTGTGGTTTCAAGCGCAATAAGTTTCCGCTCGATGGCTGAGCTTCAGCCGGGCGATATCTTGAGCGAGGTGAGATGCGCCGAATTTTCGCGTCTGCGGACATGGATGGGCCACTGTCCCGGAGTGCCACGAGAGTTGGATTTCATGAAGTTATACCGTCATGCAGTTCCCGGATGTGCTTACTGTCTGTTTGCTCACAGGAATGGCTGCATTACATTTGAGGACAGCGACCCAGCAGCTGCTGCCGGTTTGTATAAGGGCTTTGGGCCCCCGGGACGCTTCCCAGCTGACTCTGAGCTTCTCGTGCATGAAGTCCTCTGGCACCCCTGCGCAGGAGTTCTGCAAGCACGTGGAGGATCCTTGGGTGCCGCTGCCAGTCCCAGATGCTCTAAATCAACCCATTGGTGGCTGTTGTTTGCAGAGATAGAACAGGCTCCGGAGGCTCAGGTGGATTACAGGTGCGTGCAGCTGTTTTTCTGAACTGCAAACTTCTTTCCGCACATCTAAGCGTCCGGAGCCTTGAACTTTGGCGCGAGCACAGGTGCAAGCGTTCCTCTCTGGTTTGGACATCGATATTTCTGATGCGCGGATAGTCTTCACACTGCTGGATGTGGCGACTTTGATTCAACGGTTCCAGGTTGGCGGAGCACCTCGAGGGATGCCTCGTTTTATTGTTTTGTTTCGACTTGAACCTTTCGCTTCTCAAACCAATACCATGACTAGCACGACGGCATTCTGACATGCTTTTGGTGAATGTACGCAACCAAACCCAAGGATGGCAGTGGGTCATTAACGGTGGAGGACGAAAGTGCTGCTGCGTCTGCTGGCCTCCTCGCTAACCTTTTGCGGCAGTTCAACAGCTGCATCTGGTATTGCGAAGAGGACACTTGACATTTCTTCCTGTGGCGCGTGATTTGTTCAGGAGTTTGTGGACGGCGCTATGAAGCTGAAAGGTCCAGCCAAGGGTATCGAACCTCCGCATCCAGATGAGGTCGTTTTTGATTCACAGAGATTTCAGACGAGGCAGAGGGCAAGATCGGGACATTCACCGTATGTTTAAACGATAGCAGTTTTCGAAATGCAAGGCTGGATCGCCACTCACGAGCCGCATGACGGTCTGTTCCTGAGGACATGCTCGCGGTCATGTTCGACCTCGTCCGCTACAGCTTGAGGCAGCTGGCCAGTATCAGCAGTTCAGAGCAGCTAAGGGGACTGACCACACATGCCACCCTAGTTCGTTCGTAATCTGCATGAACAGTGCTCATGAGCAGAACTTTCGTCTCGGTCCCAGGTTTTCGGATCTCTGCAGTTTCCTCGAGGAACAGACCGGCCAAATCAAGGACCGATGCCTGACACGGTGTGGCCCAGAGTTCAGAGCTGCTGCAGAGCTTGGGACAGGCCGCATTTCAGAGTCGGCCTTGATGAGATGTAGGGCAGCGTTCGAGTGCTGACACAGGATCTCCTCGCGAAGGGTTCCTCCCACGGTCCAGCCCGGTACAGGACGGGTGTGTTTAGAAGCAGCAGCAGAATGACGAATTGTCGTTCAGCATGTTAACGACTGACTTTCGGAAGAGCTGAGGAAGAGGGTCCCAATACGTCCTAATCCGGACAGTTCAAACTGTAGTGCCAATGCTTTTGAGACCGACCACCACTTCCGCATCCGATCGAAGTGTTGCACCTCATCTTGTTGCCCACTGCACTGGCTTCAGGACGGCTGAGGAAGAACTTGCGAATCTCTCGTAGCTTGGCTTTTTGGGCTGGTACTGGGGCAAGTCAACAAGTGAATCCCATCGCCAAGGCGGGTCACGAACCGCAAGATGCAAGAAGTGACGATGCCGAGCTTGAGGAGCTTCTGGGATTGCACTCAGTTGGGCCTGGAAGTGGCAGAGCAAGTCGGACCAGGCAGCTACTGTTAGTTGGTACCCTGACTGTGCATGGCGGTAAGTCCTTCCCGCCCGTTTCAGGAGTTCCAGATTCTAAATGTGACATCACAATGCTCGACCCCGTGGCAGTGTAGATAACGAAGGCTTCTAAGACCAGGCTTTCATTGTCTGCATTCAGGCATCGAGTCGACTCCAGCAGAGGCGGTCGGAGATGTTGTGTCAATGTTGCCAAGCGCAGTGAAGTAGAGCCCTTCGTGTCGCAGCCAAGCTGATGACCAGAGGGCGTGCACGGGGCTGATCACTTTTTTTTTCTGGATCAGTGTCCAGCCCAACGCTGGCAGCGACGGAGTGTGCACTCACACTCGCATGTTTTTTTATGGCTCCCAAAGAGCTGAACAGTTCCGCTTGCGATGAGAGCCCGGGAGACCAAGGCCGACTTTGTAGTGATTTTGCCTTGCGCTTTCAGGCTTCGCAGTGCAGATGGGAGGTGACCAGGCCGTGCCGCGCATTTTCTTGGTTCCCCGGCGCTCACCTCCGCTTGCGATGCGACGAGGGCTTAGACGACCCGGTAGACTTTAAGAAGGCAGCGGGGCAGGGATTATTACATCCGAAAGTGCCGATTGAAGCACAGGCCCACGCTCAGATCCTATTCCAGGCGAGCTTTTCCTGTGGCTCTGCATATCTGAAGAGAGATCTTGGGCAGCGCCAGGAGACGACGCAAAGTAGACGCATGGTTTTTTGCACTGGGCCCGAGGTGATGTCAGGCAGTCTCCTTTTTTCTGGCTCCTGCAAGCAAGCAGATTATCTTCCAAGCATCGCTTCTCAAAAGAGGGCACTGCAAAGAAGCTCCGAGCAGAAGCAATTGCTGTCGGTTCAACAATGTCAACCATTCAGTGTTTGCAGGGCTGCTGCATCAACTTCTTGCTGTGGGGCCTTGCCGTGCGATGGAGAGATGCTCTCACAGCTTGGCCGACTGGTGCATGTTGTCCCACAAGTATCAGACCCACACCTGTCACGGACAAAAGCAGACAAACGTCAATAACAACCTGCAAGCTCATGGAAGGTTTGCTTGTTCATAGAGGCCTGCTCAGACGGTGCAGGCACAGATGATCTCAGGCATTGTTCAGTTGTCGATTTCTCGTGGCACCTGCCAAGCAGGTCCGAAACGGCTGTTTAGACTGGACCCACAGCACTGGGCAGTATCACTGCAATAGCAAGATTCCAGTGAGTTTAGCAAGACCGGAGTGCTGCCCAGCTCCCGGAGGTCGTGTTATCCAGTTTTACGGTGCATGTCATCCTGCGTGGCACAACTCCGCACGGAGTATGCTCGCATGAGCAACATGACAAGCAGAACGGCATTCTTCGGTCTTAGCGCTGCAAAACGAGGGAGCGCATGTCCATCATGTCCCGACCTTCCAGCACAAACGCAGAATGCAGCCGTGACTGTTTTGCATGCAGTGATTGCGACCTGGGTTGGGCGGGGGGGCGGGGGGGGGGGGGCAGGGCGGGCAAATAATTGGCACAAGGTTTCGCATGGTCAGACTCAGTCCTTGTATTGGTCGCGAAATTTTCATCTGCAGGCAGCTGTTGTTGCTTTGCAGAGCATGGGCCCCGGCCATGCAAACGAGGGCGATTGCTTTCGGCATGCTAAAACGCTGCCGAGTTTGTTGCTATCATGTGCTGTTGAGGCAGCAGTGCAGAGGAATGCGCCACGTTGCGTTCCAGGCTTTCAAGTTTACAGCCTCGCAGATCGAGATAGTTGCAGTGATTTTCTGAGTTCTGTCTGAAAGTTAAGTGGCAGGCTGGAGCAGGTAATCATGGCGGCGAAGGCCAGTGCCTCGGGCCGCGGCCGTCGTACCCTTGATACCTGGAATCGGACCGTTTGGTGTTGGTGTTTGCGCCAAGGCCGCTGAAGCCCGTCCTCCACGGCTGCGGGTAAGAAGCTAAGAGCAGGCTTTGCTGCTGACTTCACGAGACAATCGGCATAACGGGTTAACTAACGTAACTAGCGATACTAACGGTATAACACGTTGGACATGCGGTGTTGCGACGTGGAAGACAGGTTGGCATGAACATGGTCGCGCAGACAATGGCGAAGGAGGCTTGAACTAGATTGGCACACACACACACATGATGCAGTTTCCTGCTTTCATGCATGGCACATAACAGGATAACAAATGTCTAACTTTCCGTTACATGGAACCCTTGTGGAACTAGACCGTCCGTTTCCAGATGTCTTTGACTGGTCAGGAAGATGTTGCCCGGCATGGTTCTCGGACGATCGTGGCGCGTGTGTGTGTGTGTGCTATTGGCCATCCTACTTCGTGACAGAATAATGTTGCAAGATTCCGTGACTGGCTTGTCAATTGTTTCCTGGGGTGAGGTTGCTTCGTTTGCAATACATGCAATGGATGTTCTTACTCGGTTAGCCTCTGTGGCTGCAGGCTTCACGCACGTTACTGCGAGGAAGCGCAGTGCCCTCGGATTGTGACATCAGTTCTGAACATCCGGAACGGAATCGTGAACGTGGTTTTGGCGATGCTTCCGTGTGACAGTTGTTATGCCCTCAGCATCGTACTGATCCTTGTTCAAGATGGTTGTGCTATGCCGTGTTGCATCCGCTTTGTCCGGGCGATGCCGCCGGCTCAAGAAGCCCTTGAAGGTTAGATTTTCCTGTCTCTTTTTCGACGAAGATGGAAGCCGACCCGCCGACACTTGGAAACTATTGCCATTCTTGATGGTGCAAACGTAGGAGGAGTGCCTTCTCGCCCCGCTCACAGGCTCACAGCCAGATTGAAGGTTTGCATGACATCGTTAAATTTCCTTCCGAGCAAGAATATGAGAGAGCGTTAACAGCATGTGCCTACATGTCACATCCTTCACAATGAGGGATGCTTCCTACGACTGTTACGAGGACGGATCGGGTCCGGCTCACATTGGCAGTGGCACCCATCGATGACCAGGTGCAAACGAGAGAGGGAATCAGCAGCTGGCAGCAGATTGCCCCAGTTTCGCTAGACGGCCATATCTCAGCCTTGACAGAGTCTAGACTGTGCTCGACAGGATGGGCGAAGCAACTCTGCACGCTGCTTTGCAAGGAATGGTCCGTCCATCACCCTTGGCAAACTGCCGAGTGTATCCCCCCTCTTTGGATCCAAGAGCTGTGTGTAGCCGTGTAGCCAAGAGAGAAATGTCACCTGAGAATGTTGGCAGAAAACCTCTCAGGAAGTGACGTGGCCGACGCCGTTGCAGTGCCTTGGCGTTTCTATATCGGAAAGTTGCATGTTTTCCTGGCAAGGCTTGAGGATCATGACGATCGGGCGATGTCAGTCCCCTCTGTATCGGTAATCCTCGGTATGTCACAGAGGTCCGCAATCTTGGTCAATGTGTGTGATTGTTTTGATCACCAAATCTGGGCGCAGCAATCTGTTTGTGCGTGCCTTGCAGAGGAACTACGCAGCGACCAGAGGAGTTTAGCTGCATCCCTGAGTGCCGCAATGCAATCTCTACAAGCGCCTTGGCTCGGACGGATGGCTTTCATACTGTAGATTCATTAATTGTGTGGCCGGTAGTATGTTCAGCATGCACTTTGTGTTCGCGCTGCATTGGTCTTCCGCTATGAGGCCACTAGAGTCTCAGGACCCATTTGGCCCTGTATGCTCTGCCACTCTGGCAGAGCACTTTGAACAAGACACGAGGTTTCCCAGCTGTTTGAGGCGATTTGTGAACATTGTTTTTCAGAATGCCCTCACAGTTCCCGAGGTTGCCTAATGATTTCAAATCCCTCGTCAACATAAAAATCAACAAACCACCAGTCAGTCCAAATCGTTGTGTTGCACATCGTGTCTTTGATTGCTCGATGAAACTGTATGCCATGCTGGACTAGGTTTTGTGTTCGTTTGCTACTACAGCTGCATGTTTGTAAGAACACGGAAGCGTTGGTTCAATACAGATACAATACAGATACCAACTCATGTTGTTGTGGGCTGGAAACGCCGTGACAGACTTCACCCTACATGTTGGCCCACCATATTCAATCGTGCGGAAGAGGCTCCATGTCGGAAACAACAAGTGCTGGATCCTCTTGCTGAGCTCTTCAGCACAGACATGAGCTGGGATTACCTTGGGGTTTTCTTTCGCCTTAGCAGCTTCCATGTTTAGTTTCCGATTCCATCCCCGGTTTGCGTCTTGCATATGTACATCGAATTAGAAGCTGAGTGGAAGGAGGGATCTTCGCGTGAGAGCTGCCATTCGCAGGCCAGTCACGAGTTGGCGCTCCAGGCGGAACAGATGAAAAGCATTGACCAATTGATGAACGGTCCATGTTGCATGCAAGTCGAAGGTGTGGTGAAGGTCGAGAAATTCAATCAGTGAAGGCGGTGGGCGGTCTTTTGTCAACGCTGCTGGCAGGTCATGACCAAGCATTTTGACATGATATCTCGTGACGACCTGAGTTCGTGACAGCCCACCGTGCAACCGCAGTCGGGTCACCTGTGGTCCACGTGAGGGGCGATTTGTTCGCGACTTTTCGCCTCACGCTAAGGAGCAAAGGACGAGCTATCGCAGCTTCGGAGCCAAGCATCGCCGGGATGCCAGGCAGGTGAGACGCTGGCCGAGTGAGTTCGGCCTGCAGACTTATTTGTTCTAGCCTTGTGATGTTTCAGAGATACTCAACTCGAGGCAGGACGGAATCGACAGCCATCCCAGAGCGGAGCCATGCACTTTGGCCGAGATTGTGTGCAGCTTTAAAGAGCGCGTGATGTGGATTGCACGTATTCCAGGGCACGAAATCTCCTTTATACTCGATGCCTGACTGATGGTAGTTGTTGTGGATTGCGCGGAAAGGGTTGGGTTGCCCTCCGGCTTCTGGCGCCTGCTGGTTCCGAGGCACATGACTCCGCCCAGCTTGTTGGGAGCTGTGCCAGACGAGGACAACGATGCCAAGGAGGGCGTGCCGCTGGCTTAGCTCACTTCGTTTCGGGCATCAGCGGCACGGCTCCCAGCAGACTTCTTACGGCACAGGTCCGGCATGCGTCCCACTCCGACTTTGCAGCTGCAATCGCCACGTCGGGACTTAGCGCCCAAGCCGAACTTGAGCAGTGTTTTCCCAGACGTGAATCTAGCGAATCTTGTGAATTCAGTGCACACATTGCCCGAAGCTGACGGTTCACAGCACAGAATGTCCAGGCATACGGTATTTTTCAGCTGCCCATCCAAGCGGTTCATGCGACTGAGGATCCAGAGTCGAAGCGCAGCCGGAGCACCTTCATCAGGGAAAATGAAGAGAAGGCGAGTTAACCAGAGATGCATCGCTTTCCGCACAAGCCCAGGGCAGTGCACTGGGTCAGCCTTCCCTACGTTCACAATTTTGGATCAGGGATCCTCGGTTTCTGGCAGAGGATTGCAGAGGCACCTGAGCAGGTCCATCACACCCCGGGCGGCCGCTTCTCGCTGCCGGAGCTGAAAGCGTCGCCTCGCTGGGAGCCGAGCTTTCTGCGAAACATAGCCGAGTGGGATGGTTTTGTAAAGGAAACGGGTCAGGAGCCAAGCCTCGCGCACGTTAGCATGGGAAATCTTGCAATCAGTTGTCCTCGGAAAGCATAGCTTTGAGCAGTGGCAGGAGCTTATTGGTTTGAAGAGTCGACTTGCTGCAGTCCAGCTGACTCAATTTGCTTTGGGTGCTTTTAGGTGCTCGGCTCAGTGCGGGCATGGCACGGGCCGCTTGGCAGATGGAACGGGAGAGCAGGAGCTGAGCAAGGCAGAATCATGCCAGACTGCGCATCCATCTTCAACCCTTCTGTGCCAGACACTTTTTTTTGTTGCAGTCTTGCTGCCGCCTATCAAGGCGACTCGTGCCAAGAATCAGACTCTTGGCAATCTCTTGGCCTTGTTCGGTTGTGCAACTACTGTGAGGGCCACGAACAATTAACAAGCTTGCTTAAAGCTGTGAATGGGAGACCTCACACCAAATAGAGTCAGCAATTCCTCAAATAATTCACAATCCATGTTTACCCCAAGTCCCTCAACCCAAAGCCTTTAAAACTCTGTAAATGTGTAGGTAGTAGATCGTTGCTAAATTTGACGCTTGCTTTCTCTTGTGTCTGAGCAGTCAGGATTTTGGCGAGGCAGAAGACCGCCAACCTCTTTGTAGACGAGGCGTAGCTTTGCTCGCTGGGTGTACACTCGTCGGTTCGCAGGGTTAGGATATTATGAAAAACTGGTTCCTGGCATTTGCATTTTTGCATGTTTGTTTCGGGAGACTGGGTGCTGGCATGACACAGCTGATGCCAAGAATCCTTCTCCGACTCTTAGCATGGCAAGAAACACAGTTTGGGAAGTCCACAGGCTTGACAAAACAGCACTATACATCGGAGCCTGTGACTCCATGATCAGTTTCAGGAGGACCTCAAGGCAAAGGTGCGGGCGGCGATTGGAGAGCCGGAGTATGATGCCACTCGCCGTCAGCCATCACTTGTTTAGCCTCTGCTTTTGCTGACATGGGCATAGGGAAAGGACAGAAATGAATCTTGGAGAGCACACGAGCCAGACTTGAGTCACAAGCGGTGTGGATCGAGGGATGTTGCAGACTTGTGAGTGCGTGCAGTCGCGTTTCGGCTCCGGTGAGGCAACCCTTTCGGCCTTCGTGGCCTTCGTGGTTTCGTGCCTCAAAGCTTTCTGCCTTCTGTACAGGTTTTGGGCAGGGACGAAGCACGTGCATGCTCAGGAGGGCCTTGGTCTTGATGACGGCAAGCACGGACCCAGCTGCTTTCCTGCAGGCCTTGCCGGGGAGCTGGAAAGGCTTTGCAGTCCAAACCCCATTGGGGCGGATGCCGTACAATCTGGAGTTCAGAGTCTTGGATGACCGCAGCATCCAGGGCGTCTCGCCTACCAATGGTGTTGCTGTGCATACTTGGAGTTTCAAGGAATCACTGGACAAGGAGGGTCTCCCACAGCTTTCCTTGAACTTCCATTCAACCTTTGGCAACAGCTTTGCCACTGGCTTGGTGGCAACTTCTGTCGATGCTGACAAAGGTGTGAAGTTCTCCGGAGGGCAGCCAGAGAAACTGGAAGTTTGGGTGCGGCTGGGCTCGACGCTTTCAGATGAGACGTGGCAAGCAGAAATCCTGCTCGATGGCAATCCGCATGTAAGCATCTCTGCTCTGCGGCCAAAGAAGGCTTGCAGCGGTAGCTGAAATTGTAGTGACCAGTCTCTCCAGAGGATAGGCCAGATTCTGCCCGATGTGCTCTGAGGCTTGCAGACATTAAGTCTCTGCCTCCCTGCACTCGGTAGTTGCATGGAGCTGAAGGCAAGTTCGTGGTAAGCCGCCGGCCTGGTCAAAAACATGAGCGCTCGTTAATTCGTGCACGCCGTGAAATTCCCATTCTAACGGGACTCGGCCCATTGCGGCCCAGGGGGTGTTACAGTTCTTGCAGTCTAGCCAAGGCGAGTAGTGTTTATTGATGGTCGGAA